AACAGAGAATAAACTGCCCAAATACCCTTAAACAAAGGAAAAGTACGTCCTTTATGAAGGCATAGAGCCTTTACTACATGAAAATGAAAATTAATGAATACACTGTGTACAGTAATGTACCTGATAAGACAGACCTCAGAAAAATACTTTATGAGAGCTTTTATAAAGCTGTCTATAATGAAAATTAATTAACTAAGGACTTTTTGCCCTGCCAGGGTGTGGCCGAGTTATCCGGAGTGCCGGGTTATCGAGAGCCGAGTTTTCGAGGTTCTACTGTATATAAATAAAAGTCAGTTAAACACATTAAAAAGGGGATTATTTTTGTATCATAAGTTCTATTTTTTTTAAACTAAATTTTGGAGTTTTTCGGTGTTTCAGGTCGAAGAGTTCTGTTAAATGCTCGAATATTATAATATATTGATCAATTGTGGCGTAATTATTACATGGAAAATCATAAAAGTTACAAATTTCATTGCCTGAAGTTAACTTAAAAGTTATTAAAACTGATAAGAGATACAAACTGTCAACATTCATATTGCATTACACCCTAAGGTCGATATTTTTCTTCCTTCTTATACTTTTAAATTACAAAATTTCTGATATAATATATTTTAAATTTAATGTTAAATACAGCGTTAAACGTATATGTAACTCCCTTTCCCTTGAATTAAGTGTATAATTTTAATCGAAGTTATTTATAGTCCACGTGTGTTAGCTTGGTTCACTGATCATAAAATATTATATTATATATTAGGCTTTTGTTCATTTGAAAATTGTTATATTCATCTATTAGAAGCATATTTTGAATTTAGAAAGGGATATTTTTGAATTGTATTGAAGGAATAAGGTAACATAACACCGAAGAATCACGGATCGAATCCCAGCAGGTCGAAAACTCTAGGAATTTTTCAGCGGATAGTACATTCGTAGGGTATATTAGGTCCTGTCCTTCGCCACCCATTGTTGGTTTGAATGAACCCATAATGGGCTTGCTAAAAGGTACCCATAGGGCAAAAAGTCTAATTTACTTTAGTTAGGTTACGGCAAATCAACATTTGGGCGAACTGTCTAGGGAGGTTATTTTAATTGTAACTGTCTTATCTGCCTTCCGGGAGGTCATTTTAATGGTAACTGGCCCCTATTCAGGAAAAAACCGGAGAACTCCATGTGGCCAGCTTCGTTCGGCTGAGGCGCGAACCCACGACCGAACTCCCAGTGTTCAGGGAAAAGAACCGCTTGGACACTGGTAGGCCGAAGGACTAAAAGAGTTTATAAAAACTTGTAACGGGGTCAACCAGCACGTGCGTGGAATGAAAAACGATGTCCCGATAAGTGTAATTTATAGTAAATTCCATCAGTCTAGATCTAGGATTCCTACTAGAAATTTGCTTTTAAATGTCAATTATAATATTTTTGAAACGTATTAGTAGTTAAAAATAATGTAGTTAATTAATTAAGATATATACATATTTTTTAAAACCGCAATTTAGCGTAATAACCAACACTTTGCACAACATTCGTTTATTTCAGTTTTTGTTGTGTTTTAAAACTTAAAAAACAAAGATAGAAGATTTTAAAACATATGAAATCAAGAAATATGAAAAACTTAATAAAAAGTTTGAATATCCAACAATACCGGAAATAATAGAACATAAAAAATCGTTAGTCTTGAATAAAACAAACGTAATAATACTTGATATGTTAAATACAGATCTAGATTTTAACGGCCCAAATCAATAAAGACTAATAGATATACTACCGAATTTGGACTATATGTGTAATAATATGCAAGAGAATAAGTCAAATTCAGTAGAGCGCCGTTTATCCGAATCAATTGGGGAATGGAATTGTTCGGATAACTTATTTTTCGGATAACCGATTATGTACGAAAAAATATATTAACCTATCCCGTGTTGAAATTTTTCTCCGTTGCGTGTCGCTTCGCGTTGAATTTTCGTCGATGTTAAGCCTAACGTAAACTTTTTAAAATAATAATCGTGACTATTGTATCGTTAAAAATTACTTCTTTATTTTGTACAAACAAAATAAATATATTGAAAAATATAAAAAACAATAAAAAATTATACTTCATAACTTAATTTAGTATCAAAAACGTAAAATATTTGAGTAGCCCAAGACATAGCCAAAGATTGCAGCGCCACAGCACTAGCAAAAATTTAAATTTGCCAACTGGAATTCTTTCGGATAACCGACTTTCGGATAAACGAGGCTCTACTATATTATAAAAATATTAAGTAACAATATTAAAAATTATATAAAAAGTTAAAGAAATGAAACAATCATTAGAGATAAGAATTATTTTAAATACAAACACCAGATTAACAAAGTATATGATTTTTTGAATAGAAATAACCTGGAAATTATAAAAGGCGACAAATCAAAGGAAATTGTTATAGTTTCAGAAACGAAAAAAATTAGAAGTCATCACGAATAATCAATTTCGAGAGTTATCGATCAACCCAAAAGATGTTATTCAAAAAGAAATGAAGAATCGTATTACAAAGTTACAAAAATTAGGAAAAATAAATGATGTTGAAAAATGGTTTATCTTAAACGAAAACAACGAACGAATACCAAAATTGAAAGTTCAGTTAAAAAACACATAAATCAGGTGAAAAGATAAGACCTATCATAGATTTTAAATATTCTACCATGTATAATTTAGAAAACTTCTTGAAAAGTCGTTTACAAAAGTATCAAAATTCTCAATTTGCTATACATGATACGGATGAATTTATGTGTGACATAAAAAAATTAGATATTGATGAAACGTTGAGAATGGTTAGTCTCAACATTGTTAATATGTATCCATCAATTAACCTGGAAAATGATATAGAACCAGAAATTATAGATCTAATGGAGTTTGCATATAGAAGCAATTATTTTGAAATTAAAGACAGATATTTTACAAAAACAGAAGGTATCAGTATGGGTTCTGTGATTGGTCCAAAGCTGGCTGGGCTCGTGATGATAGATATAGATAATGATAATAATAGGATACCAGGAATATACTTTTATAGGAGATATGTGGATGATATTTTTGTTGTATATAGAGAAACACAAATTAAGTTAGAACAAATAAAGGAAGTAATTAATAAAATAACAAAAACGATACAATTTACAATAGGAAAAGAAGGAAAAATTAATCAAGAGATAAATTACCTAGATATTACAATTATAAGAAAGAAAGAAAAATTAAAAACCTTTAGAAAACCGTGTTCAACACAAACAACAGTGAAATATAATTCAAATATACTACTATACATAAAACAAAATATATTCACTATGGAATATAGGCCCTAATAAAATTAAAAATAGAACTAGTAAAGGTGCTGACATATATAATAATATTAAAGACTTGAAGAAAAAATTTCTGTTAGATGGATATTCTAATAGACTAGTTAAAACTTGGGAAGATAAAATAAATAATAGTCTAACAAAGAGAATCCTAAAAACAACACAAACTGAAATAAACGAATGTTGTGCCAAGTATTGGTTATTACGCTAAATTGCGGTTTTAAAAAATAAATATAAAGACACAACACGGTCTCGAAATATGAAATAAGAATGTGTTTCCCTTCAGCTCATAAGAATCAGATAACATCTAGAATCTTGAAGAATCTTTTCAGATTCTTGTGAGTAAAGAGAACCAAGGATCTCTTATAGTATATTTGGTAAAAGAACGGAGATAAATAAAATTAGAAAAGATATTATAGATTGAACATCACTAATCCAAAAAGCATGAAACCAGACAAGCGTCGGAGATGTTCCGAACCAGGTAAAAAATGATAATAAGGCAATATCTGTGCTTGTATAACATCATTGACCGCGTAAGTAATTGTCAACAATATGGGGCATTGATGGTAATATAGTTGCACGCTGTCAGTTTGAGGATATTTGTCCGATTTTAAGAATAATTTGAGATATCATTCGATATTTTCCTCACTCTAAAAAAATTAATTGATAATTTCGGATATTCTAAAAAAATTCTGCTAATTTCTTCGGCATTAAGTATTTAAAAATCACACATTTGCTATTTTTAATCTGAAACAAAAAAGAAAACAAGAAGAAAGTTCAGGAAAGATATGGAAGTCTTTACACATTAAAGGTGGTGAAGACTTCCATATATCAGACTTCTACCAAGCTTGGAACTTTTTAAACACCTAGCGTATAGCCCAGGTTTAGCGCCGAGTGACTTCCATCTCTTTCCTCTTTCCGTGACTAGGAGGGCAGAGGTTCGATCCTAATGACGTTAATGACTTCAAAACAGAGTTAAGGCTCATCTCAAGTCACTGGTGGCAACATTCTATAAAGAGAGGATAGCAAAGCTCGTCCACAGATATGAAAAATGCCTCAATCTTCACGGTGATTATGTCTAAAATTGACCACGTTTGTACCTAACTTTAGGTAATAAATTCATTTTCCTACTTACATTTGTCTTTGTTTTATGGATCATCGGAGATTGAAAAAAACGGCCTTCGTATACTTCTAACAGTCTAAACTTATAATTGAATTAACTTCAGTCTAACTCCTATCCTTTATCCTCTTCAGCACTGGCATCCCTGCTGCAGCAAAGATGTCGTTGACGTAGCTCACGGCGTGTAAATGATACGAAAGCCTGCTTACCATATCAAGGTGGGATGTTGGTGCAAGACGTTTTAGTTCGTCTTTATATATATGTAAGTTATTTAATTATTTTACGCAGTCTGCCGAACGTATTGATCATGTAGAGTTTTCCGAGTTTTCTTCACGTGGCTGAAAAAAAAGAAAATCCTGCACAGGACATATGAAAAGTTATTTACTGCATTGCTTATGTTAAATACAATTATCTTACTGAATACAGAATGTAATCAAATTTTTATAAGATTTTGAATATAACTACAAATTTGAAATTACGTAATTTAAAAGAAATACAGTAAATTGCATAAACAAAAACATTCATTTATGAGAAAACAATACTCTAAATCAACAATTGTTTCTTCTCTTTTCATCCAAAAGTGTATTGAATAAAATTTAATTTATTTGGCATAAGAATTTATAATGGAATCGATTCAAATACATTTTGTAAATGGAAGAGAAGTTTCTATTTCACGATCAATAATTACAAACAGCCAAAGAATAAAGTTTATGTTGGAGCCATATTTGAACCTGGAAACTATTACTATTTACATACCTTGTGAATTCAAAATTGTAAAGTTTATCGATGAGTAAGTTTTCTCTTGAATTATTTTCGAATTTTATAACATTAAATTTATTCTAATTATTAGAATACTGTATATTGTACAGTGTGGTCTCTCTACGATTTTCTTAAATACATTGTGCAGTGCATTGTATTTATGGATATTGATTATTAAATATGAATGATAAATCTCTCTTTCTATACATATGGTCAGTTCGGGAATATGTAATAATACAAATAACTATAACTAATTAATTACTGTAATTGTAATGAACTAGTGTATCTAATTATTTTATTTTTCTGTTTTTGGCTCTTGGTCAACATATCAATAGCCGGGCTAACAATGGGAACAGCAAGATGGTGAGAGACAGAAGTAATGTGTCTTTGACGGATCGCCAATGAACCATTATGGTGTTATTCGGCCTTTTGGGATTCGATTCAAGTTACCAGTCATTAAACTTCTGGATGCCCAAATATAATTTTTCGATTCTTCTCTGCTAAAATTACGTTATTTTTATAAATAATATATGAAATATTGGATACATTTTCAGATATAATCAATAAAAGATACTAAGTGTACAAAAGCTGATGAAGCCACTAAACAATTGGTAGTTGTTCGCTGATTTGTTCGTTACTAATGAGATGATCATGTAGAATTTAATCGATCATTTTCAAGTGTTTAAAAAATAGATAAGTTAAGAAATAATATAAAATTATTCCTGGAAGGCATTCTTTTCGTTGGCAGATAGCCCATGAGTTGAGGTGATGTATGTCATCAAACTATATAAGAAAGACAAAGATATATTTACATTTATATGAAACGGAACATGTCATTAATTTGTTTACATACTTTCTTGCTATCTATACACCGATAGTTACTTATAAACTGACGCTTGTAGTTTTATTTAACATTTGCAGTAATAGTTTATATAATAACCTATACCATCATACTTAACAAATACTGTATTATTCATAATAATAATATGTAGATACATTGAAATCACTTATATCGTTCTCAATGTAGACCAGTCCCAAAATGATGACAATAAGCCAATTCTACTATAGTATACATGTTTAAAACCTACTATTTGATATCGCTTATTGAAACTTTCTTATAGAACTATAATAATATTAAATATATCTTAAGAGCATGACAGATGAATCCCATAAGGAATTCCTAAAATTTTTCTATCTATCGGATTTCATACGTTGACTCAGGGTTTAGGTGAAGACGAAAACCGCCGCACCCATCCTATCACTTTTCTTGATAGAATTTTCTGGGTTACGAAACAGAGAAGTAAATGTTTTTAATCATTTCACAAACCAAAGAAACGAATACAAACACGACAGGATAAATGAGCATGATATTCCCACGCACTGTACTCGTATTTTCTTTTGTCTTTTCCATTCTCATAAGTATAAACCTAACATAAATTTAAAATTAAACATTCATAGGCTCATCATGTATTTAACACGGAAAAGTATTGAACTGCCGTCAAAGTTGATTGAAGAAATTTTTCCAAATCTTCACTCATGTAAGACTTTCTAAATTAGAAAAAGCACGAAAAAAATTCGTGTCTTTCTGTGGGCACGTGTGCGCGTGCTTTTCTGTTTGGTGTTCACGTGAGGATGAGTTAATGATCAAAAACTTCAATTTTGCATGATATCGTAAAAAACATTACACTATATACGACAATGCGGTAGAATGTACTGGTTTACATCAAATAATTTTATTTCTTATATAAAGTATCATATGTTATCATAATATTTTACAAATTTTGCTCATAAAGAAAACTAAAATATTAAAAAAGAAATTATACAAATTTTGAAAACACTTTTCTATGGGACTCTTTTAAACTTCTTCAAAAATAAAGATTTACATTACAATATATATATTCTATATCTGTACTTAACAGAGCAATTTTTTCAGAACTCATGGCCATCCCTTCGTTTAGTCTATAACGCATTGCCGAATTACTAATTCGTACGTTACTTCGTAAAATGCCCTCTTCATTAATTTTAGCTATAACACGAAATGTAGAAGATTTCGAAATATAAAAGACTTGATTCAATTTAATCTTTCCGTTCTGATCACAATTTACGTACTTTTCTTTTTCGGGATTCCAACTACCACTGTCAATAAACTTCTGTATTCTTATTCTTATACTTTCTTCGCTGTTATGAGAAATTGGGAGTTCGATTCCAGTGAGGAAACAATCTTCTAGAACAAATATCTCCGAAATGAAGTGGAACTTGTTTTTCATGTTGATTTCTTGATCGTGAATGAAATAAGTTCGATTGCAATATATGAACCAAAAGCTACGTTTTTCATGCTTTCTCGGAAGACGACTTCTAGAAATGCTATCTGGAATTATTGAATTATCAGATGTTGCTTTGTAATGTTTTATGGCCTTTACTTCTTCTTCTGTTAAGAATTGTTTTGGATATACATAGCTTTTTAAAAATGCATTATCCATTGTAAGAAATCGGATGTTGGGTAAGAACGAAGTCATGACTTGCCGCAGGGATGTATTCGAGTTAACTTTACGTCTTGCCCATTCGTAAACAATCTTAAAGATAGTCATCTTGTCCAAATTTTGATATATAGGTCGAGAAAGCAGTCTACGTATAACAATTTCATCACAGTCCAAAGCGTTTTCATTTTGAAAAAAAAACCGTTTTCCAATCATCGCTAAATTTTATCCAACAATAAAATTGTAATATATAATCATGGATTTTGCAAGCAAACTCGTAAATTTCACAAACGTGTGATATATGAGTTGGCTGGGCTATTTGATTTTGGCAGAAATTATTTAATAGAAACATGCATAATTTACTGCTAATTCGATAAACGTCCATTGCATGCTTCAACGAGTAAAATTCCNATTGTATCCAACAATAAAATTGTAATATATAATCATGGATTTTGCAAGCAAACTCGTAAATTTCACAAACGTGTGATATATGAGTTGGCTGGGCTATTTGATTTTGGCAGAAATTATTTAATAGAAACATGCATAATTTACTGCTAATTCGATAAACGTCTATTGCATGCTTCAACGAGTAAAATTCCGGAAATTGTTTTTTCATAAATCTATATATAAGAAAATCATGAAAATTAATTTTAGATCAGAATGTGATATATTAAGATATATTCAATTATTTTATATTTTTATAATAATGCTTTATTGCAAGCGATTAAATAGTAAGCTTTAGGCATAATATACTTTAAAAGAATCCACTTATTGTCAAAATTTTAAAATCAGTAATTTCATGAAGAAAAGACTACACGCTATTAATACGTGTATTAAAATAAAATTAAATATATTGTAAAATTCAATGATCAATGAAAAGGCATACTCATCGATTATCTTTATGTTTTCGTATGTATAAGGTAAGTAAACGGTGATAGATACATTGTCCAAATATGGGTTCAACATGGATTTTATTCTTGGACTGCATTTACGAAACACCGATCGTGAAACGGATATTTCTCTTCCATCCACAGAGTGTATTTGAATACATTTCATTGTAAATTCTTATGCAAAATTGATTAAATGGTTTTGAATACAGTTTTGGATGAGAAGAGAAGATACTATTGTCGAATTAAACTAATGTTTCGTAATAAATAAACTTTTGCTTTTGTTATTAATTTTAATCCTTTTCAAATTACTTAATCAGGAATTTTTAGTTACAGAATAACTTTTTATAACACGATCTTTCTAAACCACGGTTCGAGAATTGAGAAGCACCAAGACCGTATTCAGGATTTTTTCGAAGTAGCAGAAACAAAATAACGTTGTTTATTAAAAGGTGGTTTTATTTGAAAATTTTAAAACCCTAAAAGTAATTAGTTGCTATGCTATTCGAACTTATCTAAATCTTATTTCAGCACTAGCCTACGAGAGTTCTTGCTACATTTTGTCAAAATTTCTTTTTCAAATTTATTTTTAGCTTTCAGAACTCTCTTCTTATGAACACTCATCATACAAAGACTAACCACCGAATTTTCTGTCATTGTTGACCGTATCCAAGTTTTTACCGTGCATAGGTTCGTGTGCACAGCTGTGCAAGTGAGATAAGTAGCGCCCGTTTTATGAATGGGTAGAACATTTGCGTTTGGTTAACTAGTGCAGCTAGTTTTATCACTTTCAGTTCGGCATTTGGCACATTTTTGCCTTTTCATCGGTTGTACTAAAGTTGAGCTTCACCCAGAAAATCATTCAAATGTTTGTTTGTTAATATGACATATTTGTGCAATTTGTGCTTGCGAAATCACTGACTATAAGTTACAATATTTTTGTTGGACGATGTTTAATGATCATTAGGATAAGGTACTTTTTCAAAATAAAAACGCTTTGGACTGCCATGAAATTGTGATTCGTATACTCGTTTCTCTTCCTATGT